TTCCTCTATAGCTGGTGGTATTCTCCATTGCGCTGTATAATGTATTTTTGCTGGGATTTGTTCCTCTATAACTGGTCAGTGGTAATCTGCATTGCGCAGTATAAATCATTATACAGCGCAATGGAGAATACCACCAGCTATAGAGGACTACAAATCCCAGCAATAATACATTATATACAGCGCAATGCAGAATAACGCCAGCTACAGAGGACTACAAATCCCAGCAATAGTACATTATAGTATAATGTACTATTGCTACATTCCTCTATAGCTGCTGGTATTCTGCACTGCGCCGCTGTATAATGTACTATATTGCACACCACACTTTTTTTTAACTTCCACCGCGCCAAGCTTGCTCCCGTGATGGACTACAATCTTAACACAAACTAGTCGTCAATCACTGGAGCCTTTTTTTTTTATCCGATTAACCGATTAATCGAACTTAATAATCGGCCAACTAATCGATTATGAAAATAATCGTTAGCTGCAGCCCTAAATATGTCCCCTATAGGATAGCACAGATACAATGACAGGTCCTCTTGACAATGACATCAGAGTTTTATTAGACCCCTAATGTCACCTAGGGACCCCAAAGAAGCTGAATGAAGCAAGGATTGTGCTGTTCTAGCAGCAGGAGGAATGACAGACTAAACCCAGAAGTGATGTAATGCACATCGCTTCTGAGTTCAGTGATCGGAGGGGAGATCAGCAAACTTCCAGCAGCTGATCTAAGCAAACTTCCAGCAGCTGATCTAAGTGCAGAGATCCACCATGCCGGCCCTGGGCCCACACGGGGGACAGTGGAGCCTAGGATAGCCAGCTGCGGTGGTAGAAGGGAGGGATGCACACTTCTCAACAACCATAAAAGCAATCGAATAGCCCTGTCCGCGAGCGGGAAAAGATGTTTAAAAATGGCCACAGGTCCTCAAGTGTGAGCCATCGTAATTTAACAACACATTTCACATCCCTTCATGTCTATGCTTTTTTTTCTCCTGTATTGATGGGGGCAGCGATGGTTATCACATAGGCTGCACTTTAAATATGTCTGCCTTTGTTCACTTCTATTACATGGCAGACTGATGGGCTTAACAGTTTACACAATAGAAATAAGGTTCTTTGTGCTTTCTTTAAGCTCACAGGAAATGACGAGGGCACAGTATTTTTGGCAAGATCACCATGTATTTTCTGTACTTGCTGAAAATGTTATTTGCCTGCAAATGAAAACTAATTCAGCCACCACATCTAAAGAACTGGTAACCTGCTATATATTTCAGTTTTGTTTCGCTGTTTAGATTCTCTTTAATCTAAATTCTGTAACAGCAAACTTATACATACTGGCTACAAATTTCTCTCATTCAAAAGAAAATGACAAGCAATTACATCTCTGATAAGTTAGTAATACGGTAGTCACATTTAACTTGACTTATCCTGTAATGTTGAAGATACAGAGAAAGCTGCTTGAATGAGCAGCACAACATCTACAACATTACAGAACAAGTCCAGATGAATGTTACCAACTACTATACAAGCTATAGCATGACCTGGACAAAAAGAGAACCTTCAAACACATATCCTAACTTGTTAGTTGTTTTCCTAACCATATATTGTTTTATTTATTGTTTATGTATTTCAACATTTATATTGGTCTTCTTAAATGAAAACACCCTTAAGAAATGTCACAAGAAACAACACATACTGTTTTTTGCCTTTAGACGCAGTCAACCTCCTGGTCTGTTCTAATACTACTGCCGTCACAAAAACATTGTAGGCTGACTGTTCTTGTGTCTCTTGTCCACCAAGTGAAAAAGATCTGTGTACTGCAGCACTGCAGCTTGGTTAGTTGCAGCAAGTGTTGACACTAAACTCAGAAGTTAAAGGATTCTTAAAGGCTGGGCGTTTACTTTAATACATTACCTGCATTAGGGTAAAAACCACCCAGTACCTTTTTGTGTCGTCACCGCTGCCGATCCCCGAAGCAATCCTCCGTCCCGAACTTCCAGGTTGCAGGGGGAGCGACCCATTTGCGGCACGGCTAGGAATGAGCACGCATGGGTGCCGCCATAGCAGCCACTTAGTTGATGGAGCCACCCGTGCAGGGGGCAGTAGGAAGAGCTATACGGGGACCCACTGGAGAATGAGGAACTAAACATTTTTTATGAAAAACAACAAAGGATTTGCCACCACTCCAAGCTTGCTCCTGTATGGACTACACTCATTACAAATTACTAATTTAAACATGAGATTGTAGCCCATGTCATGGGAGTGGGAGTGATCTTGGAGCCGTGGCTACTTTACAAAACACATAGGGACCATAAGTAGTCACCCTCCAAAAAGCTACAGCTGAGTGATACACAAATAAGATACATTTTTCTTAATAGTTAAGGGACTCGAATGCAGTTTTAAAATGTAACTCCTGAGTTTCAGTGTCACTTTAATCATGCCTCTTGTAGTTGAGTGGGTTCAAAAAGATGCAAAGCCTTGTAGATGGCATGGCATGTTTCAGTTACATGAAAGATATAGACATGGTTGCTGTAGTCCACCCATTCCCAGCATATTTAACATTCTACACTGGCGGAAAAGGCCAAGAAGGGGGTTCTTCTGAAGGCACAACCTAACTTGGAGAGGTTTGAATCACTAGAGGGTTTTCAACCTTCCAAACACTTTTTAAGTGTCAATTACATAAAAATTACACTTAAAATATGGAGTATTTTATGTCAAGTCCGTAAAGCTACCCTTCAATGCAAGAGTGATTTGAAACATTGTCCATATTTTTCCTCACTAAGTAGTACTACCGTGTCTAGTCAGATATGGAATAAAATAGCTAGGTTTTGATGCACATATATTAAAAGTTTAGCATTGGATAAAGACAGCTCCACTACAAACTGATGAAAATGACATCCACCACTTTCTATTGCCCTAAATTATGTGCTCCTCCTGAAACAACACCAAGGCTTGTGCTGCAGACACCACCCTCACCTCCGCCCTATAGGTCTTAAAGCTAAACTCTGGGAAAAAAATATTTAACTGAAATATATTCTAATAGCTACCAGGGATATACATAACCCTTGTGTGCACCAAATGCCTTTCCAAACGCAGATATTGACTTTTAAAAGTAGTGTAGTGATAACATGACTAAGCTGTACACAGCTTGTGCAGAGAGCAGAGCTGTGGGTAGGACCCAAAAGGTCCTCCCACTACAGGATGTCTGCAGTAATCTACATGGGGGCAGATACAAGACCAGTCACCCTGCACAAAGAAAGAGAGCAGTAGTGACTGTTCTGTCTTACAGGAAGCTCATGTACAAAGGGAAATTATAGAAGTTTCACAGCTGGAAGAAACACACAAAAGACGCCACAAGTCTAGTAAGAATACACAAACCCCTTTGTATTTAGACAATAGTTTTTAGCCAAGATTTCAGTTTTAGCAATCTGTTCACTTCTGGAGGTATTCCCAGCACAGCTGAGAGGAAATACTGAGAGTCCAAGTCCGAGACACACACAAGTTTATGGTTAAAGTAAAAAGATCAGAGAGTACTGCATACATTAAAAAGTGAAAATATATTTATTTGTAGCAAAATAATAAACAATACTATTAAGAACACTTGTTTTAAATGATTATTTTGTTTATTGTGCCCTATGAGATAAGATATAACCATGATGACAGCACAATTGGAGCAATACTTGCAGAAAGGCCTAAGCTAACACTAGAGGTTTCATTGCCACATCTGCTATAAGTTAGGACAGTTAAAATATTAAGAGTACATGAGGTCTTACACACTAGGCCATTACATTTGCTAGGGTTCCCTACTGTTTGGTCATGAACTTAAAATACTGCATTTTATTACATACAGAAAGGCATTACTTTAATTGAGCGAAGAATGAAATCATAGATTTCATAGATCGTAGGATGTAGGGGAAGATAATCGCTAGAGAGCCAGGTAGAGCCAAAGAGGCAAGATGGACATCTCCTGTTCCCCACTATTCTCTATTGTAAATGTGGAAGCAGTCAATGTTCTGTTTCTAGGATATGCACTAAAGACTTCTTCTGTGTGCCTAGCATATAAAAGATCTTTCCCGTTAGAGAAGAAACTTATGAGTACCTTAAATATATCACAAGTGAAATATACACTGTCTTTTGGAGCTGAAATAGCTGAAAACGAGCATAAAATTGTAGTAAGTCATTCACTGGGAGAGAGATCAGGATGTCACTTTGTGGCTTCACGGTTCTCTGTGGTAAAACACATTTATATACAATGAAATAATAAATATATTCAGCTGCCCAAGTCTGCAGCAGAAGGGCAATGTCTCCAGTACAGTCCCATTTTCATCTTCATATGGCAATGTCCTAAGCCATGTAATTCAAGTTCCTCCTGTAGCTGAACTAGCTCCTCCCTCAGGGAGCCCAGAGTAAGCCGAGTGTCAACTTGTGTTAGTACTTCATGAGCCCTGAGAATAAGCCCTCCTCGAACCAACAAACCTAAAATGGCAGAATGAACCCGCGAACACCCAGAAGCTGCAAGCCATGAAACACACAGGGAACCTGGAAATGGCAACAAGTGTTAGGAACAAACATTTTGCTAATCAAATTAATCCTTTTTTGTCTTTACCATTGTGTAGTATATGGGGCAATCTAAACATTGGTGTTCCAATATCAGCTGGCTTGGATGACATTTCTAAAACATAGGAATACCAGAAGACAACCCTAAATATTCTTAGCACAAGTATCAAACAGACAGTGTGTCCTGTCAATGAATACTATTCCTCTAAGAGAAGGCCATCACTGGGTGTGTCTGCAATACTTTGCCCACTAAAACAGTATGGGTGGGCTTGTTCATACAAAGATACTTAAAATTTTTTTTTTCCACAGCTGGATTAACCCTACAATTCCAACTGAAATCTTTCAAGGGTGATTAACTCCATCTTCCTATGCATTACATCACAATTCACTTTAAAGTACAGAACTTACCATGCTGATTTGTCCAACTGTGGTATCCTCTTAACTGCTCCCTTACTATGGTGGTAGTTGACTGAACCCACTGCAGCAAGACAGAGTGCAAGGTGTGTGCCATGACACTCATCAAGTCATAAAGCAATGGATGCAGTAGGGAGCAAAGGAAATTGGGATCTGCAAACATATTGGGTTCATCTTCCTCATACAGGGCAAGAGATCTGTGAAAACACAGAAAGAATATCACAGATGTTTTTGCAAAGATATTAAAAAGGAAAACAGTCACTTTGCCCATTCAAGCCAGAGTAACAGGTTTTCTATATAGGCAACCTCCTCAGCTAAAAATACGTTACCCCTGCTGCCCTGTTTGCAAGCTGGAGCCCTAAGAAATACCTGGTACTTTTCCTTCCACTATGCAGCATTGGATGTAAGAACAGCTAATCACTGGGCTGGATGCTGTCAAGTGGGGGGTGTAGCTCTATATAAGCCCCGACACATAATGACACAGTGGTTTTTACTCAGGGCTGCAGTTAGGAAACGGACAGCATGGATGTCGGCTATAAAGAGAACCTGTTGTTTCCCTTCATAGTAAAATACATTTTCGAGCAAATAGCAATTGGGAAAGTGAAGCACAACCATACAGCAATTACCTTTCATGGTACTAAATGAAAATCCTATTTATAAAGGCTATTGCAATTCGCATGTCATTATAACTAAAAACTGCCATGTGCAATAATCCTATTTTGCCATTACTGGTAACTGTTGCCAGCTGTATTTAGAGACTGAAGCAAGCACAATACAAAGTCAATTACCTTGCATGAAGAGAGGATAGTACAGTGTGCAGATCACATGTAGGCAGATGATGTATTAAAGCATGAAAGGTCCCCTCGTAGCCCCAGAAACTGTTCCTCAGAAGTTCCAGGAGACAAACAATGGCCCAGTCAGTATGTAAAGTTATTTCAGGTGGCCGATTCAAAGCCGATACAGCAAATTTTGTAGTAAGTTCTCGGACACCTCTGTCCTCATCTTGGAGCAAATTTACTGCACATAATACGGCTCTATCATAGAAAGCAGACATGAGAAAAGGACCACAAGAGTAATGAAAGAAGAAATGAATAATACACTAATAGTGAGAACTTCTTACCTCACTGCCAGTTGTACAAGCTCAGAAGTACCACACTTGAGGGCTAGTATCACCAGGTCAGCTCCAGCCAATTGTAGTGAATCTGCTGCAGCTAGCCGCAATTTCTCGCAGGAAATGGCTGGGTCTGCACAAGCTGTCAGAACAGACAGCCAGCGGGCAACTAGCGAGAGGTCATCCAGAACTTTTCTACAAATAAAAAAATCAAAGCAATAACGCCACGCATTTTGCAAGAACCTTTGAAAAAATACAAACCTGACATTCCAAACTATTGTACAAATGAAACATGCAAATAACTTAATCTCATCCTTGTTTCTTAGCAGAGGGCTAGTTATCTATATGGGCAAATAAAAAAAAAATGCAGCTAAAA